TTAGTAACTAGTAAAAGACAATAACTCATATTCCCAGACACATCCAAAACTACCTGTAGCCAATTCTGACTCAAGTGGTTGTTTTAGTGCCTGTCCGAAAGATCCACAAGCAAACCTCCTTTCTAGGAGCACTATGTATGTCTCCCTTCAACCAGGTGAGCAGAAAATCAGTATGAAATTTTCAGTGAAATCCACAGGTAGAAATCTATCTGCGGAAGAAATTTCCAGATCTCTATCATTTATTTAAAATTCTCCATCTGCAAAGTAATTCACACACTGTCCATTATTTTGTGACCTAAACTTGCCATGATATAACAATATGCCTGAAGCTAATGCTATTTGAAATACAGTTGTACTCACTGAACATACAATAAGACAAATTAATGGAAAAAAAAATCAATGTAACATAATGTACACACATGTACATTATATATTTTCCTGATAAAACAACTTGTGAACTGTTTCATTCACATTATGAGCAAGCAATTTCTATTTTCTATTTGAAATTATGTGGAAGTCAAAAGATATTAATGCTTTCTAAATGACAATTTTAAATTGTCATGCCTTCACAAGAGGCATGCCTATTTGTGTGTGTGTGTGTGTGTGTCTTTTCGCTGTCTCTCAAAGCTACCCCTCAGAACATCAGTGGGGCTGTAGCACTGCAAACTGGTATCAGTTATGATTCAGTCCTGAAGTAATGAATTCCAGCACCCTACATTGGCTCACAGTTTGGAGCTCCTTTTTTATTTTTATTTTTGAAAGCAACTAGAAATAAGAGAAGTAATATGTGACAGCATACCCCCAGCTTGTATAAAGATGAAACCAACACTATACAAAAGCCACCAAGAAAACCAGCAGATGGCAATAGTGTCCCCATTTGCTTTTATTCTGCTTCAAAACTATTTCATAAAGAGATGATTTATTCCTTCCCCATTTGGATGATAAGATTCCCATCCTATTTTAACTTAGATTCACACAAGTGTATTGGAGTTAATAGTTGCAGTTCTTATAATGAAAAATTAAAATATCCCTTAACATATATTCCTTAAAACAGATTGAAATTCAATTAATATTTGTGGTTAGCTAAATACTTTTCCCTATATACGTTTTGAAAAATTAATGAAATAGGGAAAGAAGACTGAGAGGCTAAAACTGAGAAATTGTCTTGAAAATTAAAATAAAAAAAAACAATGCTATCTGACTCCTCTGGCTTTCATGGCAACCGTTTGATAAATAACTCCAAAATACAATCTGATGAAAGGAAAAATGCCCATCAGTAAATAATAATAATAATAATAAAGTCACTATAAATCACCAAAAAATCACTACCCATCCAGGTTTTCTCTCTCTCATTTCTGGAAGAACATTTATGCAAGTGAGACTTATAATAATGGTTGGAACAAACTGCCTCATGGACAGGTGCTGGGCAAGGAACCACTGAACTGGAGTGCTGCCAATACACCTCACATTTGGCTGGATCTTTCCACAGCAGAAAGATCAGCCAGAATGTTTGAATTTCACTCATCAGTCACTTCCCTTTTTTCACCCCTTAATCTTTCCCCTGCCAGTGTTTCACTCTGAATGCAATGGGGCTTTGTGCAGAGGTTATCCAGAACACAATCTAATTCTTAACTGTATTCATTCAAACATTGGATGAAACAAAAACAGTGTCGATGTTAAATCCCTAACTAGTGGTAGCAGTAGGTATAAAAATCTTCCAGCATTGGAGACTCAGGCTGCCTCATACAAAGTCTTTCTTTCAAAGCATGGGATTATTTTCTGATTCACGTGTGGCTCACTTTTTTCCCACTCTAAAAGATTCTCATTGCAATTTTAGCTTCTGCAGCCTTCTCCTAGCACCTCTGAATATAACTGCATGCCAACTCCTTTGCTGGAAAACTTAGGTGTGTGTGTGTATACATATAGATATATATAATTTGGGGGGGGGGGGGGGGAAGGCATATTAGGGTAGGGGATTGGTTGGTTTGTTTGTTGTTTGTTGTTGTTCTTTGTTATACAACTCCCCCCAGAAATACTTAGAAAGCTTTTCAGACTACTTTATGGAGAAAAACTTAGTTATCCAACCTTACATTTTAGCCATAATCTTTCAAAACAGCAGTTTCTGCCTATTTCTTGCTTTTTGGTAAGGTATTCCTGATAACATCAGTTTCCAAATCTTTCCCCAGAACCATAACTATGGGGAAAATTGTAACATAGTTGAAATCCACAGCTCTCATTTCTCAAGGAAGAGCTCTTCATGAAAATGGGTTTTGGTCCTTGAACTTCTAGCTTTTAGCCACAATACCAAATTAACTGTGTGATTTTTTATGAAGTTCATTATGGAAGGCCTGTTGTCCAGAGGTACACTCAGTTATACCATCCATAGGCAGCACTTTCTTTATACCTTTTGCTCATTCTGCCCCTCTTATCAACTGATTTGTCTGAACTTGGTTACTTCAAAGTCTTGAGTCATAGCATTGCAACTAAGCCACTAGATTTCATCAGTTGGACTCTGATTATAATTTTTCAACCAAAGTGCATGCCAATAGCTGGACCACAAGAAGATGATGTTGGAGGACTACAGGAAGTCATCTCTCCCCTTCAATATATAAGAACTTCACTACTGTTGCTGGTTATCTGGGAGAAGAGGCTGACCCCCAGCTCCCCACACTTTCCTTTCAGTTATTTGTAGAGAGCACTAAGATCTCGGCTGAGCACCCTCTTCTACAGAATAAACAACCCAAGTTCCCTTAGCCACTCCTCACAGGACTTGTGTTCCAGGCCCTTCATCAGCTTTGCAGCTCTTCTCTAGGCACATTCCAGGGTATCAGCGTCCTTGTATAGAGAGGCCCAAACTGAACACAGTACTTGTAATGCTGAATCCAAAGACTAGAAATACATAGTGTTCACCACAGAATAGCAATAACACATCTTCTGTGTTCAAACAACATATGCAGAAGGAATAAAACTTCTAGAAATTCTAAAATCACAGAAATATACTTTCTTTTACATATGGAAAAATGAGATAAGTAAATTAAAAAAAAAAATACTCTTAGATGTAAAGAAATTAAACTCATTCCATAAATATTTTTGAACAGTAGTGGCTCTTGTTGAGGAAATAGTGAAGTAAAGAGGAGATACTGTGCAATCCAGGGTCATATACAGAGAGAGAGTTACCACTTTTGACTCTTTAAAGTAAGAAGAAACATTGAAAGTAGAAAGTTTCACTACAGTTCCAATAAATAAAAATAAAGAAGGTAAGTCTATGGGAATCAAAATAGCATGCAAAGACTTGATGGAATAAACTGGCTGTTGGGAAGCCTTGGTTTCTACAGCTTAGATAACAGACTTCTATGTATATATTGGTGTACTAAAATTAAGACATAACACTGAAATATAATGCTGCTAACACATTGTAGTATTACTGATCAGTAAAAAAATAAAAACTGTCACTGCCTAATACTAAATTTCTTTGGAATATTCTTTATTTATATCTGAAAGGCACAAAACACAACAATAACAGTATTTCAAAATATTGTCATAAAGCTGTTCGACTGTTTATTCCAATACAGCACATTTAAAATAACATTGATTTGTAAAATTTTCAGGCCTTTGAGTAATTAGGGCAGGCCCAAGTCCCTTGCTAATTCCCTGTCCCAGTGTATTTCTTTAGTAAATTCTCAGGATTAGGAGCAATCTACTCAGGTAATTTGAGATAGATTTATTTTTTCCCCTACGCGTATAAGTTCATAACACATTCCATGGCAGAACTCTTCTTTGTAAGTAGTGAGTGAGAGCATTTATTGCTGCAGCATCCCACACAAGTTTAGAGTGGACACCATAACCACTCTACAGCTGAAAATAGATGAACAGTTTAACATACCCTTACACACTACATTGACACAGTAAATTAACATGTAAATATAAGAACAGTGAAAAACAAAGTTATATTTCCCAGTATAAATCCAACTCTAATCAGAAATTTTCTCTGTGTGTGAAAGATGGTGTGTATTATAGAATTGTATAGACCACAGGTCTTATATATCAGCAAATAAAGCTTCTATATTCTGAATAAGCAAAAAGTAGAGGTGTGTGTGTGTATAAAAAACCTTTGGTTATTTCTTTAGCTTTGTTTACTTTTCATATCATTACTATATTATATGGATGACAGATTATAATAACCTCTTCTGAGTCACAAACTCAGAAGAGGCTATTATAATAACATCAAAGTAATCTCAGGAAAGGAGGCATGATTATTTCTTCTTTAAAGCTGAAGCAATGGGAAATAGACAAGAAAGAGGTAAATTGCAAAAAGGTCCCTCCCCAGTCTGTAAAGGTCTAGGAACAGAAATAGCCAGGAGTCCTGAGCTCTAGTGCAGATTATACCTGAGGGGTATGGTCAGATTTGACTTTCAAGTCTCCAAGCAATATATATAATTGGAAAAAGAAGAAAAAAAAAAAAGAAAAAAAAACCATTTTTGAAATCTTAAAAAATATCCCTTAATAATATTTAAATATCAAAAATCAAAATATCAAGAATCAAGAATCATAAACTAACTATTTTTGTGTTTGGCTAATTCTTAAAGACTCAAAAAGTACTTATAAGGAGTACCTATAAGACGCATTTTGAGGAGGATACCAAAGAGTGATGAGAAACACTGATGACTGGGCAGAGAACAACTGCAGAAGAGAGGGGACATGAGGACATATGTCGATATTGGAAGTGTCATAATGAAAGAGGGAGGATTATATGGTATTGAGAATATTACAGGGAAGCTTGGGTAGGTCCAGGAATACCAACGGGAAGATGACTTGTGACAAAAACTCAGAAAAAAAAAAAAAAAAAAAAAGCTAGATTCCATTAGTTCCATTGATTATAAGGAAGTGTAACTTTCCCAAATTATCTTTAGACAAATGTGAAGCACACAGGCGAGCAAGCTTACAGTGAAGGTTTTACATGTTATAATTACAAAGAGAAGAAAAAAAAAAAAAAGTCTTACCTGTGGAGATGAAGGACTGAAACCCACATTGACGACACATTCTCTGTGTCCCCCCAGTTTATGTAAAAAGGTACTTGAATGCATCTCATATATATAAGCCTTAAAAACAAAACAAAAAAAAAGTAATATTTTCATTTAAAAAGCTATGAAACATTCTCAAAGCATTAAATTATATTCCAAGAGGACAAAACATTCAATCTGCAGAGAAGTTAGAAATGCTTTCAAAATAGTTAAACAGGTATAAACGACATCAACGTTTAGAAGGGATTTCTATAGCTCAGGATAATTTAACAAATGGTTAATTAAATTAACCCAAACGGTATGTGTGTGTGTGTATGTGTGTATATATATACATATATATATATTTAGAAGGAGTAATGTAATCTTTTCCCCTTGAACAATTAAATATTGAGTATATCCCAAAATGTATTTTAAGGGTGTTATTCATAATTTAAACCCTTTTTAGATAGAAATATGTAGAAATCTAAAACCTTCATTTCTAAATTTGGAAACTCTCAGGTCTGTGGCTACATGAAATAGAATCCTTCAGTTTCTACACAAGGCTGACGTCTCAAATTGAACAGCATAGAATTCAATAACAAATCAATCACTATTATGAACAACACAGGTATCAGTGAGGAAAAAAAAAAAAATGATGCTACCTGTCTTCTCTTCTCAAAGGAAAGAGTAAAAAGTGCTTTCCAAGGAGTAAATTCAATTTAGTATCAAAACACCTATGCTCTTATTGGCTCAAAAAATGGAATCATACCAATGCAGAATTGTATTAAGAAAAAAATCCAAAATCCAATGAAAGTCATAGACATGTCAATACTACGAAAACAGCTGAATTGTGTATTTAAATTACGTGTTATCTTTCATTTAAAAAAAAAAATTAAAAAAAAGCTTTGAAACAGAAATGGTTGTATAGGTCCCCCACTAAGCTGTACTGAAAGTCACATGCTTGCACGAAGTCACATGCTTTATACTATATTTTTCTGGTATAAAACAACAGAAAGTTGGTAATCCAAACTTCACAGTTGCAATAAAAAGCTAAAATGTTCCTTTGCACATATTTAATATCTGCTGCATTTATTAAATACCCAGCCTATGAACATGGAATTTGGAGGACAGCTTAATATAACCTAAAGCAAACTGTGCACACATACTGTTACAACAACCTATTACTCCCTTGCCTATCTATTGCTCCCTTACCCACACTTGCCTTTAAAAGTTTTTGTTGCTATCCCAAGAGGAATGCAATCATTCAGACCTAGGGCAACTCAGTTGCAAACTACTACAAGATACATGTCCTCAAATCTTGTGGACTCAACTGACAAATCTTCCAATTCATGAAAAGAATCATGGACATAGGCCGCTCCTGAGAATCACTTAATGCTTCACTCAGAAAACAAATCTCATCAGCTGACTCAAACGATTCTCTAGTCCAAGCCAGTACCAAAGAAACATTGCATAGTACTCCGTGTCAACTATTCCATTCATGACTATATTCACTGAGAGGCAATCCAAGAGTCCAACTGTAAATCTACTTAATTGTATCCTGTTTATATATCTCACAAATTCTGAATTCTGTCCAGGAATTAAAACCACCTACTGGCTTCAGTCAAGCACCTAAAAATGGATAGAAAAATAAGTATCCATTTTTAACCTCTGGATCTTTTGTAACATTTTATATGAATATTGCCATATTAACTGAGCACCAGAAGCACCAGAAAACCCAGTAATGTGTTAAAATCATTGTGTCCTTCCCTAAAGGATACAAAAAAAATAAAAAAAAAAAAGTAACGAAGTTTGTTAATTGGAAGCTCTGTCTCAAACACTAAGACCCTCCTGCCTACCTTTTATGCATGTCAGGAAACTGGTCAGAATAAGTATTTGACTGATAGTAATATACAAGCAGCAATTTTTGTTTTAAAATGTATGGCCATACCACAGCTACTATGACTTATACCACCTGGAACGTGATCAGTTCACAAGGGAACAGATAGACAAAGGGAACTCAAATACAATAAGAGATTAAAGTGCTCTAATAACACGCACCCCAACCCCTTCCCAATCCCCCCCCAAAAAAGAAAAAGGATATACAATAGACATGATGAAGAGTACAACACAATATATCAGTAGTAAATTCAGTCTGTACACAGAACTACTCAAGTTCTTGCTGTTGTGAAGTTTTCCATTCAGAAACACAACTTATGTTTATAAATACCTCCAGTTTATCACAAGATTCCTCTTTATTGACTTAAAAATGCTAAGCCATAGGTTTGGTTATTTACTTCACACTACAAGCAGATTACAATATTGCCAAGTAATTTGACTTAAAAAGAGAAGGTTTCAGAAATGTTTTTAACATCACAGTAGCCTCCAAAATTTCCCTTGCTTTATAGGCTGCAAGATCACATCCATCCATTCTCCTCCTTCCATACGGACTCTCCATTTTTCTCTCTGATTATACTATATCAAGACTCAAATTATATTAACATTTATTAGATGTGACATCTCTGTGTGCTGCTGTGTTTGTTACCTCAGTAAATTTAACGTTGTGCTCCCTACTTCATACCAAGCTGTGTCACATTGTGTGCTACCTGTCTTCACATTGTGTGTACCACTTCACAAGTGGTACAGACTTCTCACAGGACTTTCTTACTTCCAAAAACCAGAGAAAGTGCTAGCAAGGACTTTTTCTATTCCAGCAAATATGAGTTGTATAGATTGCAGTCAGGTTGTACTTCACCACCACAGTGACAGTGCTATCATGTCTACATAATTAATGGGAAATATTTAGAAAATGAGCAAGAGATGAGATGCTACTGGGGTAAGAAGTCCAAAATCCAGGAATAATCCAGAAAGGAAAGGACTATGCTGAAGGAGAGAAGAGCAAGCGATACTTCCATCTCCTGAACAGGATGCTCCTCTGCATGTAAATGTCTGATGAAAGAGGGTATTTGAGAGAAAAAGAAGAGTTCGTCCTTACCAAATGCCTCTCCAAAATCCTGTGGACCTCTTGTCAAAATGGTTTGATAGTATCACAATACCCAGTAATGCTATGACACTTTTGGGGTGTTTGTGTCATTATAGATTCAAATTCTACTCCCCATCACTATTGTACATATGTCTGTGCCCTTTGGAACTGTGGGGACAGCAAAAACAAGACACACGTCATGTTGCTTAATACACTACAGAACTCTTAGATATAAGATTTTAAAAAGAATAGAAATGAATGAGGAAAATACTGTAGAGAATAAAATCAACTTTAAAATACAGGTGTTTGGCATCAGTGTAATTCCTCTGGACTCTGTTCACCTAATACATGGGGAGCTAGTAAAATAGATTTATGAAATTTTTAATGTTCATATTGTGAGTGATTACTTCCCTTCACAAGCTAATTACTCTTCGATTGAAATATGTTGGAACAGCTGCACCAGTTCTTCTGCTAACAGTAAGACCAGTCTTTGACAGAGAACATGCATCAGACTGGACTATACTTCCTACTACTCCCCATCATCTCTGTTCCTTCTGACCCCAACTTGCCTTACTGCCACCTTTCTTTTCTCCTTTAAGCTACTCTCCTCCCTCATTTTCATGGAAGTAGGCACAAGAAAAAAGTGAAGGGAATAGCAGCAAGAGTCAGGCGTACAAATCCTCTGAATCACAGGCATAATGTTTTCCAACAGGTTCTGAGCCAAAAAGAAACATGGCTTCATGTTTTAAATGAAAAGAATGTATCACAGAGAGATGGTTAGTGAAGCTGAAATTTTTCCATCATAATTCAGTGGCTTACAAAACTTTGCCAAACTTATGCAATAAAATAAATTTTCCATTCCAGGTTCTGAGTTTTATTTGAATTTGGGGAGAAGAACATTCATTTTTAGCTAAGTCTCTATGTCCTCATTCCTCTTTTTAAAGAGATGTTATAACTTTTCATTGTCTTTTTGAAGATAAATTCCATGTTTGTGAAACATCTTCCACACTTTTCCTAAATCAACACTTCAGCTCATACCTGATTTTAACTAATCACACTTCTCAACCTACAAAGCAATCAATCTCTTGCCACCCACCTTTCAAGAAATGCTTCTTAGTGATGAACTAGAGGTTAGGCTGGATGCAGCACTTTTCTGAATCAGTCACATTGTGTACCAAGACATACTGAGTCAGAGAAAACTAAAGACAAGCAGATACAGATGGAACCTAAATGTAGCTAAGCACTGAAACATTCATTGTGGTGAGAATGACTTCAACTCAGATCTTTTCTAGAGACTGCTTTCATACTGGAGATCTACTACACAAAACACACACAACAGGGCTGTGAAAACAATTTTACCACTGTATTTCAGAAAATTCTCTCCCAACAGAACTACTGTTAAACTTCTTTCTGATACTGTCTTTTTGATACATTTCTTGCCCTATAAATCTTTTTAGATGCAGTAATTCAGTAGAAAAAGTGGCAGAGTCTGTTTACATCTCAGAATAATTTATTACATTGTGATAGGTATCATCATCTCTTCCAATAGCTGCACTTTTAAGGAAATTAACAATTAAAATCAGAGTAATTTTGACATGTATCATAACTGAATGCCATTGAAAGGAAAATGTCACCACAAAGAGTGTATAAAAACAGCTTCTGTTTAATTAACACTAGTCACAGATATTTAAACTAGCCAGTGATAGCCTAAATCCTGAGAATCAAAGTGAACTTGTTGCAAGATTGAAAATGAACTTTTCAGTAAATTTATCATCTTCAATAGTTAAAAATATATATATTGTATTTTAATTGAAATGATATCCAGGTATTCATAAGTGGAATAACTCCAATATAAATATTCTCCTACTATAGTCCACCATAACTTTAGGTTTTACTACATTTCCGAAGTCATTCCAATTGTTTTTCTATTCTATACTTACTAGATGTTTTTATTATTTTCTTCTCTATAGAGAAAAAAAAGAATAGTAAGTGATGTATAAATGATAACATTACACTAGGAAAAAAAAATAATAATAATGTTGAAAATATGAATTCAACAATAGAGGAAGAACAAATTTTTCAGCAAACCAAATGAAAGAAAGAAAGAAAGAAAGAAAGA